CCTTACTCTTCTAAAGTAATAAAAAGAAATAAAATGTTTAATAGCAACATTGAAAGTGAACATCTTGTCTTTCTGATCTTAACAGGAAAGTAGTCATCTTTTACTATTAAAAATGATGATAGTTGGAGATTTTTCCACAGACGCACCTTATCTTTATGGGAGAGGTTTAAGAAACTCTCTCCTATTCCTAATTTGTTGAGATCTTATCAGAATTGATGCTGAAATTTGTCAAATGCTTTTTCTGCATGTATTGAGACAACTATATAGTTTTCTTTTTTAGGTGGTAAATATGGTAAAATTATATTGATCAATATTTGGGTGGTAGACAAAATTTGGATTCCTGGAATAAAACTTCATTTGGTCATAATGCATTATCTTTTTAATATTTAGCTATATTTAATTTGCTAGAATTTTGACTCTTTGTTCGCAAGGAATATCACCTGTGAGTTTTTTCCCCTCCTCATTCTTCTTTTAATGTTATTGTTAGATTTTAATATCAGCATATTGCTATCCTCATGGAATGAGGTAGGAAGTAGGAAGTTCTTCCTCATTTTCATTTTTTAAAAGGGTGGGAGTCTAGCTCCTCCAGAGATTTTTCTGTTATTGCTTTTTAATTTAATTCCATATTATTATTTTTACAGGCACACATTAGCTGTGTGCCTCTGGCTTAGGGTCTCACAGAATGCAGTCATAATCGCAGCCATGGCTGAACTCCTCTTAAGGCTTGACTAGGGGAGAAGCTGCTCCACACTTATTCACATTGCTGTTAGCAGGTTTTAGAAGCTCTATTTCCAAGTTCACTGATATGGATATTGGCAATCCCAGGTACTCACAGGCTACAGCCTGGAAACTTCAGTTCCTTGTCATGCGGCCCTCTCCACAGGCAGCTTACCATATGGCTGTGAGCAAGTGGAGGTGTGAGAGAGATCCAAGGTGGAAGCCACAATCTTTTGTAACCTACTACTAGAAGTGACATCCCTTAATAAGCAAATCCATAAATCCAGTGCAAAATCTCCACTCAAAGAGATTGTTGTTCATAATATTACCTTATTACCCTTCTAATATCTGTAGAATCTATAGTGATGTCACTTCTCCCATTCCTTATTTGGGAAATTATATCTCCTTCTCTCCTCCTTCTCTCTGTTTCTTTCCCTGATTAGTTTGGCTAGAGGTGGTTGATGTTATTGGTCTTCACAAAGATTCAACTTCTGGTTTCACTGATTTTTTTTTTCATGTTGTATTCCATTTCATCAATTTCCACTAATCTTTATCATTTCCTTTCTTCTATTTAGTTTAGGACTTATTTGTTCTAATTTTTTTTCTTTTTCTATGATGGAAGGTAAGGTCATTGACATGAGGCCTTTCTTCTTTCTATACTTCAGAATTTAGTGCTATAAATCTTCCCTATAGTACCCCTTTTAAAGTCACCCAACAAATTTTGATATATTGCCTTTTCATTTTCATTCAGTCCAAAATACTTCCTAATTTCCTTTTTGGTTTTTTCTTTGACCATGAGTTTTTTTTTTTTAAGTGTTCTACTTAGCTCCTGAATATTTTAAAATTTTCCAGAGATTCTTCTGTTATTGCTTTTTAATTTAATTCCATTGTATTCAGAGAACATACTTCGTATGACTTGAATCCTTTTAAATTTAGTGAAACATTTTTTATGGCCCAGAATATGCTCTATCTTGGTAAATGTTCCATGTGTACTTGAAAAGAAATTTATAGTCTGCTGTTGTTGGGTGAAGGCTTGCATAAATGCCAATTAGGTCAAGTTGATTGATAGGATTGTTCAAATTTCTTATATTTTTACTAATTTTCTGTTGTAGATTACATTTTTAAATTTTTATCAAAAATGCAGGATCTGCAACTGAACTTAAATATTATTGCATTTTTTTTGTCAAAAGGGTTTTTTTCCTCTAGCATAGGCATGCCTGAGAAAGTACACACATACATACACACGTACACACACACATACAAATTTAGAGACCACAGAACTTAAATGACATTGAACATTGAACTGTGATGCTGCACCTTTGAACAAATTTTGTAGCTCAGTAAAGTACTTTTGAAAATGAGTTATTTTATATTTCCTGTCTGACCTTGTAAGTTCCTTAATTACAAAATGTATTCTTATTCACAGTGACTCCTATTATTTTATTCTTTATGCCAAATCATGCTTCCACTGCAAAGACAACAGGCAGCAAAATTTTAATAAAATGAAAGAAAAATAGATATTTTTATGTTAATGCTATTTATAGCTGCTTTCTGTTTTAACAGGATATACAAATGCTTGACAAGCTTTGCATTCTGTAAAACTGTGTATAAAAATAATGGGTTAGAAGAAAAATATGATGGTGCTCTAATGCTTGACACACATTTAACTTTCTAGTGAGTATTAGTAAAATAATAAATATCCCAATTAAAATATTAGCACTCAGTAAATATCCACAACTATTTACAGCCAGAATGATAGCTGATTTTCTTTTTTTATATATATATATTCTTTAGTTGTAGATGGACACAATATCTTTTTTTATTTATTTATGTGGTGCTGAGGATCAATCCCAATGCCTCACATGTGCTAGGCAAGTACTCTACCACTGAGCTACAACCCCTGCCTTCAATCTCTCCCCTATCTTCTATAGCCATCAATCTCAAGTATAGGTCCTAGAGCATTTATTGCCAATAGATAATATTGTCATTAAAATTAAAAATATGCTCTGATACGTGCTTTCTTCAACATTCAGTTGCAGTTTTTAAATATAAGGCAAATGTCTCTTCTGCTTATTCATCTATACAACTTCATGTGCAGCAAAGACTCAGTTTCTGAAGTCATTAAGCCACCTATTACTTGCACAATTGGAAAGCATTGACATGGTATTCTCAGTGTAGGTCTTTCTCTTTAACTGTGAGAGAGCTTGCCCCTGAGTGCTTTAAACTACCAGTTTGCTGGAAGAAAAATGATAGGTGGAATGATAATATTTTTTTCTTATTTGTCAGTCAGGTTTAAATTTCATTAATGAAATGTGCTGTAGTTCAAGAGACTGTTCCTTTATTGTTCTAACCTTGAAATGAATGATTTTCCTAGTCACTTTCTTGGTATCACTCAATATTAGGATTTAAATATCCTTATTTTCAAGATTACTGAACACTGTTTACTTAGTACCTATTATGTTCCAGAATCTGTTCTAATTGCTGGAGGAAAAGTGGTGAGTATGATAGATAAGATCCCTGTATTCACAGGCTTTACATTCTAGAAAGGGATACTGACAAAACAGACAATTCAATCAACACAGTAATATCAGATAGTTACATAAAATAAAACATGGTGATGGTATGTGGAATGAGATGGGCTGGGTGTGGCCATTGGGTAGAGAGGCTCCTTTAGATAAGATGGTGTTATGGTTTGGATGTGAGATATCCCCCAAAAGCTCATGTGTGAGATAATGCAAGAAGGTTCAGAGAAGAAATGATTGGGTTACGAGAGCCTTAACCCAGACAGTGATGGGATTAAGTGAATGGTAACTGAAGGCTGGTGGGGTGTGGCTGGAGGAGGTGGGGCACTAGGGGTGTAGATTTGCGGTACATATTTGTATCTGGTGAATGGAGTCTCTCTCTGCTTCCTGATCATCGTGTGAGCGGGTTCCCTCTGACACACTCTTCTGCCATGAGGTTCTGCCACACTCTTTCCCCATGATGTTCTGCCCCACTCAGCCCCAAGGAATGGAGCCGGTCTTCTATGGACTCAGAGCCCTGTGATAAACTTTTCTCCCCTAAAATTGTTCTGGTCAGATATTTCAGTCACAGAAGCGAAAAAGCTGACTACAACAGCTGGTCAGAGAAGTTTTCTCTGAAGAGGTGACACTAGAGCCAAGACCTATAAGATGGGGAGGCATGGGCCACAGGAAGATCTGGAGAAGACTGTCAGACAGAGGGAACAATAAAGGGACAGAAAGCACAAAGACCTTGAGATGGGAGTAAGCTTAGTGTGTCTGAGAAACAGAATGAAAAGTGGCTGGGGAAGCTTGGGGGTGTATTCCAGTTTGAGTGCCACATGTCACATGCTGAGGCTGACCCAGCCAATCAGGTCAATGTTGCTTAGCAATTCCCTGTCTGTGGTGCCTAAAATGGCAAGTGGCACCCCAAAATGCTTGCTAGATAAATACAACCGACAGATCCTCATCTAAGTGCCAAATCTATCATAGGCAATGGAGTACAATACACTTGATCACTACCAGATGTGAGACTCGAGTGGGACTGGATGAGTTTGGCCTCTGGGGAGGGGTTGAATTCTGATTATAGGCTCCAACCAGAAGTCAGCTGGATGGCAGGGAGAGAGGGCTGAAGCTGGGCTTCTCCAGAAACAGACTGGAACAGTGGGGCCAGATGAAGGTGTAAGTGTTGAGGTAGGAGAGATGGGGTGGGCCCCAAAGGAAGGATTAAAGAGCTTAGTAAAGGCAAGAGTCTGTGTGTTCTTTCAGACAAGTCTCCAATTGCTCCTTTGCCAGGCTTGGGAACCAGAGATGCTTACCCTGATGCACCAGTGATGTCTCAGCCCACCAGAACTGTCTAGCAGAATAGCCAGGCGGTAAAACTCCACTGTTCTATGAAAACCTTAACCCAGATTGATTCCATTGTGAAGTCTATACACTTTTATATTGTTTTGCACATTTTATCTATGGGGTCTCTGTTTTTCATACAAATACCTCATTTTCTTAGAAGGACCATCCCTCCTATATGGAGAGAGATTTTTCATTCTCTTCTTTGGATACTCACTGTAGTAATTGGTACAATACTGGGCGGAGCTTTCTCTGCTCAGCAGGGAATTGTACTACCAGGTACAGTAGTATTTCAGAGGGAACTTCTCATGTGACTCACACAGTGGGAGACAAGCTTTGCTGATACTGGCTGGATGCTTGTGGTGCCAATATGATGTTAGCACTCTAGGTTTCACAGTTTGGGCCATAGGCGATGAACAAAGGCCAGGGGCTGCTTACCTGTTCTTCCTGCAGCGAATTGTGAAGGCAAGGAAGAAGAGTATCAAAAGTAGTCCACAGCTGAGAAAAGTCCAAATAACACCCAAGAGGGCAGGAGACAATGAAGGGACCGTCTGACTGCTATGCTGGGAAGAGGTCTGAAGACAGAGGAAAGAGAAGCTGTTAGGAATGAAGGATCTTCTGCAGATCAGCACCAACGCTGGGAAATACATGTGCTTGCTTAGGCATTTCTCCTCTCTCCTTCCTCCCCCACCTCACTGCCAACAACAGCAATAATGTGAGCACCCCTGATGCCCCTTGACTGCTCACTTACAATTGTTGTCCTGCAGAGATCATGAAGGGGTCTCTGATCCAGCTCCTGGCCAGGAAAACTGTCACAAAATTCAGAGCAGTTTATTTCAGGCTCCATGTCACCACATGCCCTCTTGGTGTGTACTTATTCACAGTCTTAGTCATCCACTGGTAAGGGAGGCAGACCTTTGAAACACAAAAGCAACTCCAGTCTTTTCTTCAGAAGCCCCATTTTGGAGCTGGCTTCTGGCTGAAATCCGGAATAAATAACAAATTCGGATGGAAGCAAAGGCTTACTTCATTAGGCTCCTTCATCAGACATACTCCAACATCAGACATCCTTCAATGGGTCCCCTGCTGCTAGAGTGTACTATGTGTGCCAAAAGTGGACATTTTGGTAACCATTAGGTCACAAAATGTGATGATTCTGGCTCACCACCAGAGGGCGGTCACTGTTCCAAATACTCTCATGCTGGGCCTTGAAGAAAGGAAAGCAACTGTGTTAACAAGCACAAACACAAATTTTTAAAATATTTTTTATTGTATCATATGCAATTATATTTTACTGTATAATTATGTACTTATATACTACAAAGGTTAAAGATATACAGTACTTTGGTATAATTTTAAACCATTATTATAAATAATACTTTAAAAACAAAGATAAAGCACATCTAGCAATTTCTAGGTAAAAAGTTCTGCAGTTTGTCTTCAGATTCCTTTCATGGCCCATTACTGTAAAAACTTTATATTAGATGTGTAAGACACATTGTTTTTCCTTCCCTCCTAGGAAACCTCCTGCTCTTCTAAGATTTTCCCATGTAACTTCTGGTTTAATCTCCGTCTGATCCTCGGTGGTACTGGGCTTGGTGCCCATGCTGTCTCCATACATGATCTGTCACTCTACCTCTTGTTCTCTCAGAGTGTGGAAGAACATTCTATGTCCAGTGAATGGGGGTTTTTGAGAGATCTTGTTTGCTTGTTTTTGTTTGTTTGTTCATTGGTGCCAGGAATTGAATCTAGTAGTTAAGCACTATTGGGTCACATCCCCAGCCCTTTTTATTTTTTATTTTAAGACAGAGTTTCACCAAGTTGCTTAGGGCCTTGCTAAATTACTGAGGCTGGCCTTGAACCTGCAATCCTCCTGCCTTGGCCTCCTGAGCCACGGGATTATAGGTATGTGCTACCATGCCCAGTTTGTTTGCTTGTTTTTAAAAATATATACTGACAGAGTTTAGGTTGGCTACTCAGGTAATAATAGGAAGAAGAACTTAGAAGTAGAAATTCCTTCTAAATGAATAGCCGAGGATGGTATAATTTTTCTCAGAAGATGCCTTCAATATAAATAGTGTGATCTAAAAAGAAGCTCAACCTTGAACAGCAAAGGCAGAAAGGCCAAAAGGCCAGAAGGCTCAAATAAATCTTTCAGTAGAAAAGCAATCTTTTCTACTAATTTTTAAAGCAACCTATTCCTTAATAGAGAAAATAGATTTGAAATTTGACTGAAGCAATTCAGAGGATGCCACTTTTGCTTTGTGTTTTTGAAACAACATAGCACCATATTCTTTGTGGAGGAAAATGGGATAAAATATTAACAACTATTATTTCTATAGTCACTGAGCATAGGACCCATGTTTAAGCCAGAATAATAGTGACAGGTGTAGAATGCCATCTTAGATTCTGTGTGCTTAGGCATGAACAATATGGCACCAGGTGCTGCCCATCCATTGGCCTCTAATATGTTCCTGAATTATTTACCAGGTTCATTATAATGACATCCCAGGAGAATGAAAATCCACTATCTCTCGTCAAGACATTTAAGTTCTTGTGCAGCCTGGAGAGATTACTAAATGCAAAATTAACAATAAAATATAAAAATCTTACTCTTTGTATTCTAATTTAGTTATGACTTTAATTGCTAAAAGGGCACTCTTTTTCTTTTTTTATTTTTTATAGTTAGATATCCCCTATTAAGCCTTCTAGCAGAGAACAATATCACAAACCACAGGGGGGATTACACATTACATTACAAATTAGAAGATATATTTTTTCTATACTGCCATTTTAATTATACTGGCAAATTAAGTACACTTATCTATGAATCATTATTAAATTCATGCATATTGTATCCTTATATGGAAGAAGTATGTGTTTGTGTATAGGTATTCCTGTATATATAAAATCTCACTTTGTTCTCACTACAGCAGTGTTGTGTGGCATAAACAACACCATTCCTCATTTTCAAATAAGTAAATTGAGCAGAGAAGTGGAGAACCTTATTCCAAACCTACAGAGGCAGACTTGTATCTAGTAGTTTGCAATCCAAGGTCAATGTCTTCCCAGCGCACACTGTACACAGGGCAGACACTATAGACTGACCTGGGTTTCTCCAGCTTTAGTTCCCAATCTGCACTTCTGTGGTGCCCTGGAGTGTGACACACCATGGTGCATCTATACCAGTGACTCTCAACTAGGGCAATTTTGTACCTCCAGGGGACATCTGGCAGTATCTGTAGACATCTGTGGTTGTCAAAATTGGGAGGAGAGTGCTACTGACATCCAGTGGGCAGAGGCCAAGGATGCTGCTAAACATTCGTAGAATGGTCCAAACAACAAAGAATTATCCAGCCCTAGATGCTAACTGTACTAAGGCTGAGAAATCCTGATTGACATTGTGACTCTCAGAAGAGATAATAATCTTGAGCCAAAATCGTCTTTGAGAAACTTTGAGAACATGATGGGGTTGTCTATCTGGACATTAAGTTCTGAGAGATGCAATTCTTATTTGGGATAAATTTATGAGTAATTTTTTTTTAGGAAAAAAAATTTTTTTGCTAGCCAAGGAGAAACACAGAAGACTCCTGTCCTGAAGGCTGTGATTCTGCCCATCAGCAGGAACAGGGGGCTTTTAAGAGGGGATTCAAGGCTACATTGCACATGTTCTCTGTTGGAGTTGTAATTCACTTGTTAATTTGGGACATAGTCATTTCTGAGATCTTCTGGTACCATACCCAATGTCTCGATTACTTTGTTCCTATGATGGGTGTATACTCAAGGATACATAAATCTGACTAAAATGGGGAGGAAAGGTAATCCTGCTTCCCCTGAGATTAGGGAGGGGGAGAGATTAAGGAGAGCAGGGAGAGAAGAAAAGAAAGAAACATCCATTTAAAAATAAGTTGTAGTGGCAGAGCAACAAGGGTTATATATATTCAAAGCATAAAGTAGACCACTGTTATATTCTCCCACTATCAATTTCTACATTCCATTTCTATGGAAAAATTGGCAATGACATCTCCAAGCTGCCTCCTGCTGAAAGAAGGTGAAGTTTGGGGAAGTGATCCAAAGTCCTTGTCCTCTATCAGATGTGGGGTGGACAGTTAAGGGTATTCAGCATCAGAGAAGTCCAGAGGTCCACAGAAGCAGATGTCAGGTAACTTTGCAAAGCATACATAGGGCAAGGATCATGCTAAGACAATAATAAACAAGATAGCAAAGCATTACTTTTTTGTAACTAATTGGCACAAAAGCAATTAGCATTTCAGCCAGTCTCTGAAAACCATGAAACAGTAACCCATAATCATATCAGTGGGAAACAGATCAAGTTTATCAATGTAGGAGGTTAGGAATATTTGTAGGTCTATGAGATCAGGCTCAAATTAACTCAGGACAAACTTGCAACCTTAGAGTCCTTTATGATCATTATTATTGTGCACTCCCACACAAGAATCCTTCCTCTATAGCCTCCAGCTTTACTTACTTTAAGTAGAGATGACACAAATGTACATTTAAGTTACATTTTTTTAAAAAAACATTGTTTTTCCTTTTAAATGTCCATGTAGGACTATGCTTAGGCTGTAGTCTCCTGCCAGATATTTAGGACCACATTGATCAAAACTGACCCTGTTCCTATCTACTTGTAAGAGTCAGCCAAGATTCCTCAAAGATCACTTTTAGGGACATATGTAAAGCCTCTAAGCTCCTTTAGCTTTCCTCTACCAGTGGTGCCATCTGCCGGGATAGGTCAGGGTCTGCCTGACCATACTTGGCTTCTCTTGGAAATATCAGGGACATTTCCTTCTCCAATGACCCTCCTCTTTGCAGAATGTGCACTGGTTGGCTTCCTGATCTTTAGGGTCCTCTATAAATATGTTCCTAATGTCTCCTTGGACAGACTAAATTCATTAGAATAGAATTTTGAAATGTGAGGCCCCCTTCAGCCTATGGGTATCCAGTGAAGGAACTTTATATACAATGATATTAGGCTCTTTCCTGTATGGGGCAGACATACCATCCCAAATTTGGCACACACAGAAGTCTACATACAAGGAGCTGGTGAAATAGTGAAAGGCTCAGTCATTAAAAAGAGAGAGTAAATGGTTTCACAAAGTGTGTGTGATTGGGAAAGTGTGTGGGGAATAATCAGAGTCAGAGTTAGGGAGTAAAGGTGAGACATCAGACCATAAGATAGATACAGAATCCAAGGCTCAAGGAGAAAGATCTGCCAGCCTCCTTCTAAAGCAACCTTCCCCCTACTTCTCTACACAAAAAGCCTCTAGGGTGAACATTCTACAGACAGTAGCAGATCCAAGCCCATAGATAGTAGTACTTGCAATTTATTTCATGGAAATTATAGATTCCTTCCCAGTGATTAGGATTAGAAAAGTAGATGCTGCATCATCTACACTGTTCCAAATGCAAGATGGTAGTTTACAAGTTCACAGCTCTCAACAGCCCCATATCTTTCCACAAAATCCCCTCAGTTCTTCTACACATTACTTCTGACCATTGAAAAATGAATCATACTACCACTATCTTTAACGAGTTGTTTTGCCGTTGGTAGGACTTCTGCTTATGAAGAATTAACTGCTAAATGAATTGCTTTCCTCCTATAAACAACTTGAAAACTAGATAAAACATATGAAACAACTCTTTTCAGGCACTGGACAATAGAGATGATAGGACTATGGTTTCCAACTAATGCTGCCTGAAGTCAGTTTCTGGGCTATAGCACATGGAGGGAAAACCAAACGAAAGTAGTAAAGTCTTGTTGATTTAAGAATAGATTAGAGTTTGGGAATGCTGGGGTGACTAGAATTTGGCAGGCAGTGTAATAGA